CGCGGGTGCCCTGGTGACGTAGCTGCTTCCTCCGCCCTGGGCTGATGCCGCTCCTGGTGACGGAAGATGCTGGTTGTCTTCGGAGTGGCAGGTGATGGTCAGGACATTGGCTGTTCTTGTCCGAGTCCACGCCGCTCCCTGTCCACAAATGGGGCTTTACCATGCTTTGCTGCTCTCAGGTGGAACACGAACGATTTGTTTGGGCTCTCTGTTTACAAAGCACACTCCCAAGTGTCATCTGTGGGCAGTAAGTGCGGTTAAGGGAAGTGAGGTTGATAGCTTGCCCAGAGCCGTTTTGACTGCAAATGCTGTTCTCTCAGCACCGAAACAGCAGCTGTCTTGTTCTGAAACAGTTGTCAGACTGTGTGTGTGTGTGTCTGTGTGTGTGTGTGTGTGTGTTTGTGTGTGTGTGTACACACGCGCCCTTGGGCAGAGAGGTAGGGAGAGTGATTCTTAGCTTCAGCATTAGTATATGGGGAGGGGGGGTAGGTAGGTAGGTACTTCATTCCTTTAAAAAGATCACTAGTCTGTACTCGTAAGTTAAAATTTTGGGGGAAAGAGTAAAGGCTGTTTTTACTTAGCATTTTACCCCTTGGTTTATACCTTCACAGTGTGCGCCCCTTTGCCTAAGACTTAATCTTCTACAGAATAAAATACCATAACAGTTCTTTACACCCTTCCCCCCAATGATCAAATGTCGCGTTCATTTTTATTTATTATTATTATTATTAAGCCTCAAGATCATTGGAAGTTGGTTTCTTGGAGTGTGAGAGAACAAGAGAATTAATACAGGAATCTGAGAATGCAGGTCATTGATGAAATAGATTGTTAGCTAAATTCCATTATGTGTTCAGAGACGGTAGGGTTTCAACTTATTATTCCTTTCTACCTTTCTGTAGGGTTGTTATCAGGCTCATTTGAGAACATTTTGTAAAGTGCCTAGCATGATGCTTAGTATATATGAGTAGTATTTGTTTATTCCACCCAGAGGGCCTTGTGCGGAGGTTGGTGCATGATAGGCAGTTGGTATTTATTAAATAAGGGAATATTTATTTGCTCTCCCCTGTCCTCTCTCTTTTTGCTGTGAATTCCTGCTAGTCAGGGGAACAGTGGTTTGGAGATGGAAATACTATTCTTTACTGCCCATCCTTAATCTAAAACAACTCTTCTCAATGTAAGCCATTTTTCAGTCAAAATGAAGCCAGGAGGTCTTGGGATGTTTAAAGTAATGAACTAAATTGTATTATCCTGGGATTTATTCTGTTCATTTTTTGTAAATATGATCAGTCACAATCATCTTTAGATGATTAGTAGTGTATCATGAAGCTTTAACATTGTTGAGGTAAAGGTTCGATAACTTTTCTGAATTTTCAAATACTTTATTATCACTGTAATATAGTTTCCATGAAAAAAAAATGCAGTTAAATATTACAGCTTTTCTGGCTAAGAACTGTCTTTCAAGGCTTCTTATATTGTCTACTTCTATCTGAGATAGAAAGTAACTGGGGAGGGGGGTGCTGGTTTTTTAAGTCATTTCTGGAGAAAAGAAGGAAGTCCTAGGCTCTTAACCTATGTTCATTTACTAGCTAAGTGATTTCTGACCAGCTTCAACTTTTAGCCAGATTACAGATACTACATGATAGGGAGTTTGGGTCTCTTTCAAATAGTTGGAACCATGGTATTAAGTCCTACTATGGAGTGACATTCTCTTTTTTGTACTATTTTATTTTTTGTTTTATAATTGATTTTAGAGAGAGAAAGGGACAGGGAGAGAGAACAGAACATCGATTGGCTGCCTCCTGTACAACCCCTACTGGGGCTTGAGCCCGAAACCCGGGTATGTGCCTTGACCGGGAATTGAACCCACGGCCTCTTGGTGCATGGGACGATACTCAACCAACTGAGCCACAACTACCAGGGCGAGTAGCATTCTCTTTTAAAACATCAGTTTGATCTCATTTTATGACAAAGTGGATAGAGGGAGGTGTGTTATATAAGCGCTAAGTTTACTTATCGAAATGGTTATGTGTGTATATATAAGTACATATGTATATATATATTTCTTTTCTTTTGTTTCAGCACTCTGTTTTCTACAGTGGACACTGATGAAATACCAGCCAAAAGACCAAGATTAGGTATTGATTATTAATTTTAAAAATTAGTGTCTTAATAGGAAAACTATATGTATGTAACAGAATTCAAAAGCTAAAAAGTATATATAGTGAAAAGTAAGTCTCTTTCGAATTCCTTTTCTACTCAGTTATCTTTCCTGGAGGTAACTGGGGAACTAAATGTCTTTCTAGATAGATAAGCCTATACATTGAATATACATTTTTTTAAAGTTTTTTTTAATATACATTTTAAAATTTGAAATCTTTCTATAAGGAAAAGTTGCTTTGCCCTAGCCAGTTTGGCTCAGTAGATAGAGCGTTGGCCTGTGGACTGAAGGGTCCTGGATTCGATTCCCGTCAAGAGCAGGCTCCATCCCTGGCCCTAGTCAGGGCATATGCGGGAGGCAACCAATCGATGTTTCGCTCTCTGTCTCTTCCCCTCCCTTCCACTCTCTCTGAAAATCAATAGAAAAATATTCTCGGGTAAGGTTTAATAAGAAGAAAAAAAAAAAAGAAAAGTTGCCTTTTTTTAAAAAAAAAGAAAAGTTGCTTTTTAAATTTGTGGAAAAAACATTATAAAAACTACTTCAAACTGAGACATCTGGTTCAGATAGCTGAGTGAATCAATCTAATGTGTTGCCTCAAATTGTTTACTTCCCTACAATCTAAAGGGCCAGACATCATTTCATAGAAGAGAATAAAGTTAGAGTAAAAGGAAAAGGTACAATGGATTACTATAATAATATTTTCTTATTTCTAAAAAATGCATATGAATGTGGATCTACCTCCAGATGTGGTGGTTAAGAGTAGACACATATGTGTTAAGATTTCATTTTAATCTCTTGAGTACTTTCTGAGCATGTCTTACTGCTAAGTAGTGTTTGAAGTTCTGCAGGAAATACAAAAATGAGTAAGACAGGATCTCTATTTTTAAAAACCTTATAGTTGTAAGGGTATATGATTATATAGTAGGGGATATAAGCCAAGCACATAAATAATAACAGTGTCAATGAGAACATGATAAATGAAATAAGAAAGGTAGTAACAAAATACTGTCCAATTATTAGCTGGTTAAGAGTCTCAGTGGATAGTTGGGGAAGGAGCTAGTATGTGAGATGGGTCCTGAAGGATGGATAGGATATCAGCAGGGAGCAATAGTAAGGAAAAGCTTTCTAGGTAGAGGGAATTGTATTGGAAAGTTGTGCGGTTTAAGAACTAGTGGGTAAAACTTAGGGGAAAAAGTTGGCAAGAGAGAGATAGGTCAATTTATGGAGGCCTTCGAATGCTAGGAATATCCAAATTCATTAGAATGGTATTTCCCAAAGCACAGGATAGATATCAGTCAAGAAATGATTTTAGGAGGTACAGTGTTCATAATATTAAGTAATATTTGAATTATGTTATGTACTTAAAAAGTTGTATCCTTTTCAGTTATTTTAAATTTCTGGTTATTTTAAGCAGAAAATCTTGAGTGAATGCTTAGTATGTCTTCAATACTTGTCTAAAACAGTTGACCTTTAAAACAATATGGGGGTTAGGGTAATCAATTCCCTCATAAAGTCGAAAATGTATGTATAACTTTTGACTCCCCTAGAATTTAACTAATAGTCTTCTTTTGACTGGAAGCCTTACCAATAAATAGTTGATTACACACACACAGAGACACACACAGACACACACACACATACTGCATTCTCACAATAAAGTAAGCTAGGAAAAATGTACACACACACACACACACACACACACACACTGCATTCTCACAATAAAGTAAGCTAGGAAAAATAAGAAAATCATAAGGAAGTGAAAGTACATTTACAGTATTGAAAAAAATCTGTGCATACATGGACCTGCACAGTTCAAACCTGTGTTATTCAAGGGTCAATAGTACATGCTAATCTCTCCTTATTTAATAGGCCCAGCTAGAACTTAATATTGTTGTGTTTTCATTTCTTTAAAAGGCAAATAATGTTGCTTTACATTCACACAAGTAATATAAAATTACCTTTCAACATCCAAAGAAACCCAAAACATTAATTCAAAGGAATATATGCACCTCCATGTTCATTGCAGCATTGTTTAACCATAGCCAAGATATGGAAGCAACCCAATATGTCCATCAATTGACAGTGGAAAAAAAAAGCTGTGAGCCCCGGCTGTTGTGGCTCAGTTGATTGAGCATCACCCCATGCACCGAAACGTTGTTAGTTTGATTCCTAGACAGGCCACATACCCAGGTTGCAGGTTCAATCCCCAGTTGGGGTGCATGCGGGAGGTAACTGATTGATGTTTCACTCTCACATCAATGTTTCCCTCTATTCCTCTCTCTCTAAAAAAAATCAATAAAAACATTTTTTAAAAACAACAACAAAAAGCTGTGGTATATAATACACAGTGGAATACTACTCAGCCATAAAAAAGAATGAAAATTTACCATTTGTGACAGCATGGATGGACCTGGAGGGTATTATGCTAAGTGAAGTAAGTCAGATGGAAAAAGACAAATACCAATATCATTTCACTTATATGAACAAAATAAACAGTAGAAACAGATTCATAGGTACAGAAAACAGACTGATGTTTGACAGGGGAGGAAGGTTGGGGGACTGGGTGAAAAAGGCGAACGAATTACGAAGTATAAATTAAGAAATATAAATCGGCCAACCAGGCTCAATGGTTGAGCACTGGCCTATGAACCAGGAGGTCAAGGTTTGATTCCCCGTCAGGGCACATGCCTGAGTTGAGGGCTTGATCCCCAGTGTGGGGCATGCAGGAGGCAGCTGATCAATGACTCTCTCATCATTGATGTTTCTCTCTCCCTCTCCCTTCTTCTCTGAAATCAATAAAAATATATTAAAAGAAGTATAAATAGGTAGTTACAGAATAGTTACAGAGATGTAAATTTCAGCATAGGGAATATATATCATAATAACTATGTATGGGACCAAGTGGGTACTTGAAATATTGGAGAGCTGCTCTATAAAGTACATGATTTTATAACCACTATGCTGTACACCTGAAATGAATACAGAATAATATTGAATGTAAACCGAAATTGAAAATAAAAAATTACCTTTCAGTCCTGGCCAGGTAGCTCAGTTGGTTAGAACGTCATCCGCATACACCAAGCTTGCAGGTTCAATTCCTGGTCAGGGCACATACAAGAAGCTACCAATGAATGTATAATGAGTGGGACAACAAAATTGATGTTTCTCCCTCTCTCCCTCTCTTTCTCTCTAAAATCAATCAATAAGTAAAAATATTTTTAAAAATTACCTTTCAAATACATTTGTTTACCAAAAGAGAGTCAAGTTTAAAGAAAAATATAAATAACTGTATGTGGTAAACAAATAACATACATAGTGAAATTATAGACGTTTCCAGAAATAATTCTGGCAGTCATCCATTTTATGGACTTCTATGTTAAGGATCTCTTCCTCCACGATTTCCATGAAATATGTGTTATGATTTTCTGAATGGGAACTATAGAAGGAAACCTAAGGCAAGGGGGAAGCAGTGAGTAGCAGAGGTAATACTGGCAGAGTTTGTAAAGGTTTATAGTAATGTTAATAGAACTATCTGCCACGATGGCTATTGAGCACTTGAAATGGGGTTAGTGCAACCGAGGAACTGAATTTATAATTTTAATTAAATTGAAACTTGGGTAACTTACATGTAGCTAGTGGCTACTATATTGGCAGTACAGCTGTATTGGTTGCTTTTCAGAGAAAAAAAAAAAAAGGAAGGCTTAAAGAAAAGGAGGACCTTAGAATTCAGACTCATGACTTATAGAAGAAAAGGATTTTAAGAGATTTTAGGTTAATCTCAGGAAAATAAAGTGGTCTTATCCCATTTTATAGATGAGGCAGGCCTTTTTTTTTTTTTAAGTCTATGTGAACGTTTGATATAATCTTAGGCATACTCAGATTTTGACAAAATTTGTAGGAAAATAAATATTATGTTACTTTTTTGTGTCCATTATTTAATTAAGTTGTTAAGAGTACCCCTTTTTAAAAAATACGTTTTTATTGATTTTTTAGAGAGAGGAAGGGGGAGGGATAGAGAAATAGAAACATCCCTACTGGGGGATCGAGCCTGCAACCTGGGTATATGTCCTGACTGGGAATCGAACTGGTGACCTCTTGGTTCATGGGTCACTGATCAACCACTGAGCAACATGGCTGGGTAAGAGTACCTCTTGTCCTCTGAGCTTGGATGACTGTCTGTAGGTTAATCACCAATCCCTAAAGCTGTTTTCTCCCATATAAAGCTCACATTATTAGAGGGATAACCTGGAATTCTTTCTAATTCCTAAAAATGAGAAACAGGATATTTGTAAACTTTGTTTCTTTTAACTATGAAACAGGTCATTTGCAAACTGGTTCTTTGAACTATTCTCTAGTTTCAAATGACTTCAGATTGGATTCTGCTTTACCCAGTTATCACATCCTCCCTGCTGTTTAAGTTATTTCACTATCTTTCTGGAAAGTATTATATATCTTATCTGTTCTGGAGTGCTTGTTGCTTAAAAGCCACCATTTCAATTTCAGGCTGTTTTTCTCTAAAGCAGAATGTGGCTAAGGTGATGAACTCTTTCTTTCAAACCAGTGCTTTAGAATGCCCTTAATTAGGAAATAGAAAGTAAATTGTAGAAAATAAGTCACCAGTGTAGGAAGTAAGAAAAGGGTAGTGATAAAAGGAGGAAGTTAAGAAAACACAAATTTACCCCTCCCCCTTGTTTATTTACTTGCTTATTTTGTAATCTTTGTTTGGTGGCAGGGAGGATGAGTCTGACACATTTTCGCCAGTAGAGGGATAGCTTTGTTTTATCATAGATGTTTAAGAATTGCATATCTTATATTTCAGTAATTTCTACCTTGGCGTAGTCAAGATACTGTAGGCACTTAGTAAGTAGCTGTTTAGCTCAACTATAATGTTACCTGCCCAGGAAATAAGGACAAACCTATGAGTAAATGATGTGTTTCCTGTAGGATTCTGCCATACCTAGTGACTATAAACTCCAGGTTGTTAAGTTATGCCCCTGACCCTTTGGTATAGATTTCTTTTCTTTTATATATATACTAGAGGCCCGGTGCACAAAAATTTGTGCACTCAGCGGCGGGGGGGGCAGGGGGGGGGGCCCTCAGCCCGGCCTGTGCCCTTTCGCAGTCTGGGACCCCTCGGGGCATGTCCACCTGCTGGCTTAGGCCTGCTCCCCGGGGGATCAGGCCTAAACTGGCAGTCAGACATCCCTCTGGCAGCCCGGGAGCCCTTGGGGGATGTCCACTTGCCAGTGGGGAGCAGGCCTAAGGTGCAGTCGGACATCCTTAGCGCTGCATTGAGCGCCTGCCCCCTGGTGGTCAGTGTGTGTCATAGTGACTAGTCATTCCCAGTCGTTCTGCTGTTAGGGTCAATTTGCATATTACCCTTTTATTATATAGGATATATTTTATTGATTTCAGAGAGGAAGGGAGAGAGAGATAGAAACACCAAAGATGAGAGAGAATCATTGATCAGCTGCCTCCTGCACGCCCCACACTGGGGTTTGAGCCCACAACCCAGGCATGTGCCCTTGACCAGAATCAAACCCAGGACCCTTCAGTCTGCAGGTCGATGCTCAATCCACTGAGCCAAATCAGCTAGGGCTCTTTTTGTTTTATATATTTGGGAAAAATCATTGCTTGAAAGCTGTCCTTTCAGGACTTTTGTGTGTGAAATCTGTGTGATAGTTTAATATTTTTGTAGCATCCCAGATATCTTACTAAAAATACAAAAAACACAGTGCTGGAATTTCAGTTATTCAAGTAGGAGAAAAGTCTTTTTACAGGTAACTTTTTATCTCAATGATTGAAAATAGGACTTCTAATAAAAATTGAGAGGCCTTTTTTAGATACAATCTTATTACTTTTTAAAAATACTAGAAGCCTGGTGCACGAAATTTGTGTACTTGGGGGGAAGGGGTCCCTCAGCCTGGCCTGCAACCTCTTGCAGTCTGGGAGCCAGCAGTTGGACATCCTTAGCACTGCCATGGAGGCAGGAGAGTCTCCCACTACCACCGCTGTGCTCACCTGCTGTGAGCTTGGCTTCTGGCTGAGCAGTGCTCCCCCTGTGAGAGTGCACTAACCACCAGGGGCAGCTCCAGCATTGAGCATCTTTCCCCTGGTGGTGAGTGCGCGTCATAGCGACTGGTCATTTTGCATGTTAGCCTTTTATTATATAGGATGTTTTTACTGATTTCAGAGAAGCAAAAGGGAGAAGGGGAGAGAGATAGAAACATCAATGATGAGAGAGAATCATTGATCTGCCTCCTGCACGTCCCCTACTGGGGGCCAGCCCACAGCCTGGGCATGTGCCCTGACCAGGAATTGAACCGTGACCTCCTGGTTCCTGGTGCGACACTCAACCTCTGAGCCACACCGCTGGGCTGCAATCTTATTTTTTTTTGCCAGAAGTTTATTACTCTAGGTTTATATGTATATGTAATCTGTATTACATTTTCTAGATTGCTTTATTCACCAAGTGAAAAACAGTCTCTACAATGCTGCCAGCTTGTTTGGATTCCCATTCCAGCTGACCACAAAGCCCATGGTAGCTTCTGTAGCTTCTGCTTGTAACGGAACACGGAATGCGGCTCCTTCAGGAGAGGTCAGTGGGGATAGGACTCCTTTGGCACTACTGATTTTGGTACTTAATCATTGAAACTAAATTTTGGAAATATTCTCATTTTGGTTATTAATGTGTAGAATGACTTCTATCCAGAAATATGCATGTCTTTATTAGCCTTGATATATAGGCCAAAAACTTAAAAGTTTAAGAAATTACACTTTATAAAAGAAATTACATATTTAAGAAATATTTATAAAGAGCTCAATTACTGCATAATAAGTATGTTTGGAGACCTTGGAATTGTTAATTTTTTTACATCATTTTGTGAGTCTTCACAAATTAAATATCTGGTTTTATTGATGATATCTCTTCTGTGAGCTAGCACCAATAGAGTGATTTGTATTTTTTCATATTAGAAACTTACTTAAATTCTAAAATTATATACTACAGAGGTTATTTTATTTGATTTTAAGGTATTTTCGAACTCTTCATCTTGTGAACTGACAGGTTCCGGATCCTGGAACAACATGCTGAAACTGGGTGAGGTGGACAAAAATATTTTTGTTTCCCCCTTCCTTCTCCTGCCTCTTTTTTCTGAGTTTTGAGACTATGAAAGGAGAACACTGCTTTGATATGAAAACACAGACATTCTCTCTGTCATTCTAAAAGGCAAATAGCTTTCCTTTACAATTGTCTTTGAATTTACTGTTGTGTTTTCTATTTGGATTATCAGTGTCCATAATGTGACTTAGATCAAGTTTTATTCCCTAAAAACAACACACAAACATTTCCTGAGCACTTCCTCTGTGCTAGGCACTATGCTACGTTATTCAGAATAATAAAATAATAAAATACTTAATAACAAAATAATGAAACCTTTAATAATAAAACAAATAGCAATAATAACAAAAATAGTAAAACTCTGCCTTAGAAGGACTTTTTTTATGTGTGAATCTGATTGGGGAGCAACCTTAGGTCTCTAGTTCTCATAGTTTTATGGATTAGGAACCTCTATATCATCCAGACCCCAAAATTGAATTGTTAATTTTGTAATATACTGTGCACAGTGCTATGGGGTGGGGGGTGGGGGGAGCGGGGCAATAGGGAGAAACCAGAGTCCTGAAAATGGTGTGATCTCTGCCAGGCAGGTAGGTATGTAAAGTTTGAGAGGAAGGGGAAAAAGAGCTTTTAGAGAAGTTGTGGGTTTAGAAGTCAAAAGTGCAAGAAGCTAAGGAAATGATAAAAACCTTAGAGTAGTGCTTCTCAAACAAACTTTTTAAGTCAAGTACCTCTAGTGACAGATGAAAGGAAAATAAATGTGTACCCCCAAGTCTGAGAATCTAGTTCCAAGGGACCTGGGGACAAAGATGATACTTCTTTGAAGCCTTTCATTTTATTTAATAAGTAAATACAAATTAGATTTCATAATCTATTTATATTGTTTGACTATATAAATGTTTAAAATTATTTACCATTAAAATTGACATGGAAAGGCTAGTAGATTTATCCTGCCCGAGGCATCAGCAGTATATTTCTGTGGGTTTGTGTAGTCTAGTCAGAGAAGCACATGTATTCCTGGGGCAGGTTTCTAATATAATCAAGTCCACAGTCTCTAATCTGAAGCCCTTAGAAACGTGTTTGGGGATTCTGAATTTATTCTATTTTAGATATTTTGTGTTTATTGAATATTATTGTAAAAACCCATTGGATTTGAACATTGGTTCAAGTCAGGTTTTGCAAGTAAATGAATTCAGGTCAGTTTAGGTTTTGCTGCTACAATTGCATTTTGGAGTCCTCAGGCACTCCAAGCCCCTGTAATAGCTCCAAAGAAAATGTGGCTGATGAAAATTTGGTTACCATTTTTTGAAGTATAGTAACCACTTCACAAGTCTTAGAAGCTTCCAGTGAAATGTAGTAACATGTGGCAGGTTTTCACTTAAAAATACTTCTGTTTTCTTGGGAGGAAAAAACAACTTGAAAAATTCTCTTAATTTGATTAGGTTGTAGGGAGTTTTATAATCATTAAGTTCTTCATGCCTCTTACTGATCCCAGCAAGCAAAACTAGGAAGCTTGTCCATGAATTGTTATTGCTTATCTGAGATCAAAGACAAACTAAGCACTATTGCTTTTCCTTTAACCTTACAAAGGTTGTTCTAATCTCTGTGCTGTATAGTCATAGAATTTGAAAAAATAACATATATGGTTCTACAGTGTAGACTGATCATACAGTTTCTTTTCTAATGCAGTGTTCACAGATGTTTTTTAATTAATTAATTAATTTATTTATTTATTTACTTATTTACAATTACAAATGCATTTTTAAAATAGGTAATAAATCTCCTAATGGAATAAGTGATTATCCAAAGATCAGAGTGACAGTAACTCGAGATCAGCCTCGCAGAGTCCTGCCTTCCTTTGGGTAAGTGTTAAATTCTGCCTTTCTTTACATGGAAACTTAGCACATATTAGGTGCTCACTCTTGCTAGGCATTCACACTTTTTTCTATTATGTAATCTTGTTAAGTAAGTACTCGAGCTTACCGAATATCATGCAGCTAATGAGAAACTTGAACTCAGGTATGTGTTACTTTTTCTGCCATATTATATGCCCATAGCATCTGTTTTTGAAAACCTTTTGAAAAAGAATTGCCATTCACTTATAAACTTTTTAAAAAGTATAATATGCATGCAGAAAAGTGCAAAAATAATGTGTCTAGCCTGATGAATTTTCATACACTGAACTGTTTTTTCATTACGGGAATTTTCTTCTTTTTGTGTTCCTACTTTCTAGAATTTCTACTACTTGGATATTAAACATTTTTTTAAAAAATATATTTGACCTTTTGCATTGATCTAATTTTCCTATAAATTCTCTTTTGTTATCCTTGCCCTTTAAAAAGAAATATTTTACTGATTTCTTTGTGAAGGGGCTTCATAGTTTTTTGTGTGTTTGTTTGTTTTTACATATTCTTTGATTTTTTTACAGAGAGGAAGGGAGAGGGATAGAGAGTTAGAAACATCAATGAGAGAGAAACATCGACCAGCTGCCTCCTGCACACCCGCTACTGGGGATATGCCTGCAACCAAGGTATATGCCCTTGACCAGAATCGAACCTGGGCTCCTTCAGTCCTTAAGCCGAAGATCTATCCACTGAGCCAAACCGGTTAGGGCACTTCATAGTTTTTAAGGTGTAACCATCCTCCCTTTCCCTACTCCCCATGGTTTTTCTTTCTCCAAGCCTCTTGTTCTTATTGTAAGGATGTAATATCTTATTTCTCTAAAGTTCTTAATTATTTTAAAATTTCTTCTCCCTGCTTTTCTGCTCCCTCTAAATTCCTTGCCCCCTTTGGTTTATTTTTGATCTTATGTTTCATATTAGAGTCTATTCAAAGACTCTTAATCCTTGGCTATCCACTCATATCCTATATAATAAAAGCCTAATATGTTAAGTGTCCGGTCGTCTATTCAACCAATCACAGCATAATATAGCTAATGATATGCTAAGGCCGCTCAACTGCTTGCTATGACATGCACTGACCATCAGGGGGCAGAGAGTCGATCGGTCAACCAGTCACTATGATGTGCACTGACCGCGGGGCAGAAGACGCTCTGACTGGTAGGTTAGCTCGCTGCTGGGGTCCGGCCGATCAGGACTGAGCAAGACGGACCGGACACACCCTGGAGCCCTCCTGTGGTCCCTCCTCGGCCCTGATAGTGCACCGGTGGGGTCCCTCAGCCTGGCCTGTGCCCTCTCACAATCTGGGACCCCTCGGGGGATGTTGGAGAGCCGGTTTTGGCCCAATCCCACAGGCCAAGCCAAGGGACCCCATTGGTGCATGAATTCGTGCACCAGGCCTTTAGTTTAAGAATGAGACACTAACTAAAAACTGGGTTTTCTGGAGTTGGATGAATGGTTGATTATAGAGCTAGGAAAGAAAGTACAAAATGAATTTGTAATGTCTTGTGCCAGAAATAAAAGGAGTGTTCAGAAACTGGGGACATGTCAACGTGACACAGGAGGAAACTTAAAGGAGCTTTCACTGGCCAAATTGGGAACAATTTAAACATCAAAATGAATAAAGACAGGATATAGGTGTTGTAATTAAATATATATTGTGGGAGAGAAAGATCTTTATAGTAGGATGCCAACAAGTGTACAGGGAATGATTGAATTAGAAAATGACCATTTTGTAACTATTATAGTAATTGATACATATAGGAATCAATTGAGCTGAACCTAGTAAGTAAAAGTTTGATGAGGTATGGGATACTTATATATACTCAAAATTTCTCCCCACAAATTACTTATTAATTACAACGGAAAAATAATAACTTTAGGGTAAAGAAAACTGCTTGATGACTCCGTCTTAAGAAACAAAGTTAAAGCCATTCACAGTGAGACAAAGAGACATTGTGGCCTCTAGATATATTGTGCTGAAGACATTGGTTAATTCATATTCCTGCAAAAGTCAATCTGAGTCTAAGAATGAGAAACCTGGTTGAGGCCTGTACTCTTCATTATAAAGATGAAGAGAGGCTAAAAAACTTTCAGTTTAAAGGAGACTAAAGATACATGACAACTAAATGCTATGTGAGCTTCTGCATTGGATTCAAGATAGTAAAAATATTGTCGTGAAGGATACTTTTAATGTCTTTGGAGAAATTTAAATGTGGCTACATGTTACATATTGTGTCATTGCTGAAGTTCCTGGGTTTTGATGACTGTATTATGGTTATGTAAAAGATGTCCTTGTTCTTGGGAGATACATACTTGAATATTTAGAAGTGAACTTATTTTCTAAGCATTTAATGCTATAATTATCTCTATAAGCATTGCTTCAGCTGCATCCCACACATTTTGAAAAATTTGTTTTAATTTTTATTCAATTTAAAAATATTTTCTAATTTCTGTTGTACTTTCTCTTTAACCAGTGATTATTTTGAAGTGTAGAATTCCAGGGAGATACATACTTGAATATTTAGAAGTGAACTTATTTTCTAAGCATTTAATGCTATAATTATCTCTATAAGCATTGCTTCAGCTGCATCCCACACATTTTGAAAAATTTGTTTTAATTTTTATTCAATTTAAAAATATTTTCTAATTTCTGTTGTACTTTCTCTTTAACCAGTGATTATTTTGAAGTGTAGAATTCTGTTGTTTAATATCCAAATATTTGGGACTTTCCAGATATCTTTCAGTTATTTAGTTTAATTCCATTGTGATCAGAGAATATACTTAGTATGATTTCAATTCTTTTAAATTTTAGCATTTGTTTTATAGCCTAGAATATGGTCTATAGGGGTGATGTCCAATGTGCACTTGAAAAGAATGTGTATTTTGCTATTGTTGGGTGGAGTGTTCTATAAATGTCAGCTCAAGTTGTTGATGTTTTACAGGCCTTACTGGTTTCTGTCTACTTTTTTATTGATTGATGAACAAGGAGTATTGATGTTTCCTGCTGTAATTGTAGGCTTGTGTATTTCTTTATCCAGTTATGACCGTTTTTGTGTATTTTGTCTTCATTTGACACAGATTCACCAGTTATCATTTTGCCAATTTCTTTATCATTTTCTGTCATATATACATAATATTTTTTCTGAACCATTTGAGAGTCTTAGACTCATGTCCTTCTAATCATAGTACTTCAGTACTTTATTTCATAAGAATGAGGACATTTACTTATGTAATCATAGATTACAAAAATTAGAAAATTTAATATAATACTATTTGTCTTATTTAAATTTATCCATAATAGAGTATTTTTTCTGGTCCACATTCAGTGCAGGATCATGCATTAGGTTTAATTTTCAGTCTTGTTGATCTCCTTTAATCTGGAACAACTCCTCAGACTTCCTTTAATAGCATGGATATTTTTAAAGAGTACAGGGTGGGGCATCTATTATTTTGGATGGAAAATAATACAGTAATTAATAAATAATAATAAACTCTGTTTTGCGTCCTCACAACAGTAATCCTACTTTCACCCTACCCAACAGAACATTTCTTTTGTAGAATGTCCTTTAATTTTGTCGGACACTTATTCATGATTTGTTTTAGATTATGCAGCTTTTTTTTTGGTAAAAGTCTCATACATGTAGTGTTTTTAAAACATTACATCAGGAAGATATGATGTCAGTTTGTCCGATTATTGGTGATGGTAGGAGAGGCAGGCTTTTCCACCAGCAACAATGACTAGGGGCTTCATGGCTTTCATTTCTTTAGCAGTTATTAATTTACAATCATTAATTTAGCATCCAGCAAATATTGAGTGCCTTTCGGCTTAGATCCTGTTCTAAGCTCCAGTGATGAAATGATGTAATCTCTGTCTTCATGGAATTTAAAGTTTGGTGTGGGATATAGACATTAAACAATCACACAATAATTAATTCCAGCGATGCCAAGTGAGTAAAGGAAAAGTGCAGCACAAGGGGAGGGTATGTGTAGTAGGGGAGCTAATTCCAGAGTTGGGGTTGGAAAGTGGGGCTTGAGGAAGAAGGCAGAGGCTCTCATGTGGCAGCCCTGGTGACTGGAAATAGATGTTCCATAGTAGAATTCTACCTCTACTCTAGAGATAGATCTAACTTTTGTGAATGCTAGTTGTCTGATTTGCCAGGAGCAAGCTTAATCTGGGAAGCCTAATCACAGAATGGTCTGAAGCTTAGAATCTAGCAATTTAAGCAGTTTGGTGACACATGTTTCTTTTTTTTTCTGTCTCTCAGGTTTACTTTGAACTCAGACGGCTATAATAGAAGACCAGGTGGCCGCCGCCATAGCAAAGGCAATCCAGAGAGTTCCTTAATGTGGAAACCTCAGGAACAGGTTGTAACAGAGATGATTATTGAAGAGGGTGGCAAGGGTCTGAGGCGTCCCCATTGTACTGTGGAGGAGGTAAGCCCTACCAGTCTGATCTCTTTTGAAAACTATTTTATGAATTTGGGGTGGGGGGGATAAGTAATATATGTACTATAGCATAAAATTCAAAAGGTATAAAAGGGTGTACAGTGACTATAAATGTCCCAGTCTCACTTCCGTACCTGGCCCTTCCACCCTGTTTGATTCTGATACTTCTAGAGATATTCTATATGTATGTAATTTAGTCAATTTCCAGATTATTTTCACTATAAGAAAGAAAAAGGAGTCATGTTAGGAAAAGAATGGGTTCTTTTTGGGTGCCTGGATTGTTCTAACTTGTTTCTTTTAGAAGCTGTATGTAATAACTGTGACTAAGTAAGAGAAGTTAAGTGGTGTATATGTCTACTCTTTCCTTCCCTTTTCAGGGCACTTAGCATGATATCTTCATCAACAAGATTCTCTTCACTTCCCTTTTCAAGTCTTCACTTATTCCAGGAGCATTTAGAATTATTTCTGTATCTGGCATTCCCTAGGACCATCACCTATTGCTACATGGTTTTCTGAGCCACTTAGTTTCGCTCATCTTAGAAATACTTGTTTGGGTGCCCAATGTCAGTAATTAGAACTGAATAAAACATGGTCCCTGACCTCTGGGACCTTATTCATAAATAGTTGTATTGAACAAACAGAAGTAGGCAGAGAGAGGAAATGGACTGCAGCCCTGGAGGGGGTTTTAAGGAGAGGTATTATAAAGTAGCCTACAATACCTGTTAGATGAGAAATCAGAAACGAAACTGAGCACGTATAGGGTATACATGGGATATATTCTAGAAATATTAGAAGATAATATTAGCAAGGACATATTCATTGGTTAGGAGTGATACAAAGTTAGCAGGAAGAGCCTGAGTCCCAGATTTCAGTCTTGATAAATACGTGCCACTGACCAAGATACCCTGGGTGGTTAGGGGGAATTTAATGACTTCAGTTTTAGACATTGTTTAAAGTGCCTGTGGAACATGCAAAGTGATCTGGCTCAGAGTTTTGAGAAGAAGGCAGAATATTCTGAATATTGGTGTTATATAAATTAAGGGAGCTGAGACATTGTTCAGGGAGAAAATGTAGTCTGAGAAGAGATACTGGGCAGGACCTTTGGCATTTTGGACAGGCAGAAGAAGAAATAACCTGCAATGGAGACTGAGAAGATATGAAGAAATCAGGAGAGTGTATTGTCCAGGAGGGCAAGGCGAGGTCATCAGGGTGAGATGCTAAAGAGAGGGGTTAATATAAGGCTGAAAAAGTATCTGTTGGATCTGGCCATACGTCGTCATTGGTGACTATGGTGAGACCAGTCCCATTTGGAAGCTGAATGTTCTGAATATGCAAGTGGTTTATTCTGCTGAATTTGTGGTCAACCTAGTTCTGCTGTCAAAATCTCAGAAGCCATCCAGGTCTAGGAGATGATGTAAATGAGTGAAGTGGGCTAGAGTGAATGGGCCATCTAAAGGGAATAGCCCTATGTAGCTCCAGATTGTTGATTTGGTTTTTCAAAAGAAGATAAATTTTTGGATATCTCTTTTCAATTTATAAAGTTGGCAATTAATTTAAAGAAATTTTGGCCCTGGCTGAGTATCTTGGTTGGAGCATCTTCCTGAAATGCCAAGGTCTTGGGTTTGATCCCCAGTCAGGGCACATATAAGAATCAACCAACCAATGAATGAATGCATAAATAAGTGGAGGACAAATTGGTGTTTCTCTTTCTCTCTCTCTCTCTCTCTCTTTCTCTCCCCTCCCCCCCCCCATTAAAAAAATAAATTTAAAGAGCCCTGTGCTGACCAATAAAACACATCTATGACCTGTTAAGTCTTTGCTTAAGATTTACTTATATGTTTAATGTGCTAGAAGTTATCCAACATGCTTTCTTCTATTTAGGGTGTTCAAAAAGAAGAAAGAGAGAAGTACCGAAGGTTATTGGAGCGACTTAAAGAAGGTGTTCATGGAAACTCTGTTCCTCCTGTAACTTCAACTCATCATAGGTAAAGATGAGCTAACAAGATCAGTGCTTTGCCAGACATCTTTTTTCCTTATTTTTCTAGAGGGAATTGGTAGGAAGGGTTTTATGGGGAAAAAAAGAGATTAACATGGAGAGAACTAGCCTGTAATTTGTCATCTAGTAATGGTTATATAGAATAGTGCTTTTATAAAATATAGTTTTCTGTTAGCTTTAGAATCCTTGTTCAAGTGTACTCTGACTTAAAACTCTGATATAGAAAAGTGGAATCACTGGTTGAAATCAGGAAGCAGAGAGTTTTTTCAACTCCCAATATACACATTCCCCACAATCTCTGTCTCTGTCTCTCTTCTGCCTCTTTCCCCCTCCTCCTTTCCTGCATGTCCCTCACTTCTTTCTTCCCCCCGCCCTTTTTTTCACCTACCTCCCTACCTCCCTATGTACACAGTTCCTGAGGCATCTTAGTGGATGCATCTTAGCACAATTGGAAACCCTCCACTTTAGATAGAAGATTAAAGTCACACAGGTCATAAGAAGTTTTTCTTATAAGACTCTTTGTTAATACTCTAATGATTTGAGCAAATAGATGAGAATGGCAGGAGGAGTTGATATCTGGCCTTATAAAAAGGGGACAAAAAATATGTGAGCTTAGAATTTAGGTACATTTGATAATTTTAACAAGTGCAAATACACAGAGGGCTGTCCCAGAAATTATGTAACAGCAAGTTGAAGGTGAAACTGTCACAAGATTAGCTGGTTGAGTGCAGAAATAACAAAGAAATATCTGGGAATTTTAATTTTGGTTGTGAATTTTTAAAATTTTAATTCTCTTAGTGTAGTAAGTCAGAATGTTAATATTTTCTCCATTTTGTCTAGCCATTGTTGAAAACAGCAGTATGCTTCGTGAACTATTGGTTTTGTCACGTCGGCAAAATCCTCAACCTATTTTGCTTTTCACATTCCTGCCTTTAATGTGTTGTTCTGGATCCATTTTAGTGTATTATGTAAAATTTTCCATCTTTTGACCTGAGTTTTATCACATGAGATTTTTCAGTTAGGGTGATGCTGGGGCTTGAGAACATGCAATTTTACAAATAGAACAACTGGAGGTTAGTAACTTGACAGAAATATTAGAATCAGGATTAGACTCCTTTTATCCTAGTCCCAGATGGTGCTGTGTTGCATGCTCTCTCTTGTAATTTGATGATTCAGGGTAATCAATAACTCCTGTTTAGAGAAGCTTGTCAGACAGAGATAATGAGTATTTATGGTAGATTTTCCTTTTGTATCTGAACGTCTTTGCTTTTTGTGTTTCTAAGTTCTCAAAGATGTCACATGGATACATTAAAGACCAAAGGCTGGGGGGAAGAGCAAAGTCATGGAGTCAGAACAACTCAGTTTGTTCCAAAACAATGTGAGTTCCCAGATTTAGCTCTATCTTAATATACTGAACTTAGTCCATGTGCATATAAAATTGACAAATGGCGTACTTATGAAAGATGGTGTGACCTTAAAACTTTATTAGACCCAGGGTGTTGACTGGTTTACCCAGTACTATAATTTAGTAAAGAGGTTATTTCAAGATGAAACAGATTTATAAAATACCTCTTTATTATAATTCCTAGCTTTTATATATAGTAGTATATATTTTGTGAGCCTAAAATTAATTTCTTTATTTTTCTTATATTAATTTTCTTGACACTAAATGATAGCTTTCCAAATGAGCAGACATCAATTTACACTAAAGATTACATTTAAAGAAGAAAGCGATTTATGCATTTTTAAGCAACTTGATTTGTAAGGAGGCTAGTGTCTTTGGAATTTATTCTAACATTTCAATGTAAGTCAGTGTCTTAATACTTTGGAGACTATGTAAGTTGAAATTCTAGCTATATATTGATTAATAAAGAAGACACTTTATTTTTCTTTACCATCCTCACAGATAGAGCTGCTGAAACAAGGGGACCTCTATGTCCAATGAGGAGTGAAAAGAGGTACCTGGTTCAGCTCATTCTAAGTTTTCTTTTGACATTATTTTCTTACTTATAAGTTATATTTATGAGTAACCATGTCTGAAGAATTGTGAACTCTCCTCACCTCTGCTTAGCTGGTCAGCATATATGGGTATATACATAGCTTTTGTGTCAGATGCCCACCCTAACTTGGGAGTGGGCCTTTGTCTCCTAGGCATTAGGGGTTGGGAGGTGCAGATGCCACTTAGAAAAGAGTGTGGTATGGTGGGCATCTCTAGTATGTGACCAGTGAAGGCAGTTCTACGTGCGTTAGGATTTGGATGATAGTTCAAGGCAATTTTTGTTTGTAAATGATTCTGTTTTATTTCTAAAACTAGTCTTACATGTACCAGGTTAAAATAATCCAATCTGTAATCTCTATATTTTCCCCCTCAGGTGTTCAAAGGGGAGAATTTCAGATATAGAGAAGACAGTTGGAATTAGACTTGAAAATGAAGGTGTAAGTAGAAACCCTAGTTAAAATTTATTTATTTTTTCTCTTTCACCTAACTTACTATTAATATTTTGGTGCCCATGAAAAAAAGAAAGATGATATATGTTAATTTGATTGCTAACTCTGTTGTTTTCTTTGAGAAATCAACAGACATTGAAGATACACAACTTCAAGGAAGATAGCTTCCTTCTGAGTTGCTGGAATTTTATTGCTGTGTGATAGCCACCTTGTTTGTAAGAGAGACTAATTTGCCTCCATCTCAGCCCTATGGGTGTTGCCTGGCTTCTTTTAGAGAATTTTTAAAAACCATACATCTCTTGGAGAGATATGTACTCAGGACTTTATTTTCAGAGTCAAGATTTTAGATTTACTTGAAAATAGTATCAATCTCATACTTAATTAGATTTTTTCTATATAAGTTATCAGAATAATGTGTTCCAGTTATCTCCATAGCAATACCAATATTTTTATAATAATGGCAAACATTCCATATCCAAAAAAAAACATTCCTAAATTAAATGCAAACTTGAAGTTTTAGATTATTTCACATCTTAGATATATACAAATACCAAAGTCTAGGGGACTACAAGAATTAGTCTTACGACTAAGTCATACTCTTTTAAAATATATATATATATTTTATTTCAGAGTGGAAGGGAGAGGAAGAGAGAGACAGAAACATCAATGATGAGAGAGAATCACTGATTGGCTGCCTCTTACATGCCCCCTACTGGGGATCAAGCCCGCAACCCAGGCATATGCCCTGACTGGGAATCGAACCATGACCTAGTAAGTTCATGGGTCAATGCTCAACCACTGAACCACACCAGTAGGGCCTAAGTTATAGTTGTATTTTTTTTTTTTTTGGTTTTTTTTTTGTGTTGATTTTTTAAAAAGATATATATATTTTATTGATTTTTTACAGAGAGGAAGGGAGAGGGATAGAGAGTTAGAAACATCCATCAGCTGCCTCCTGCACACTCCCTACTGGGGATGTACCCGAAACCAATGTACATGCCCTTGACTGGAATCGAACCCGGGACCCTTGAGTCCGCAGGCCGCAGACGCTCTATCCACTGAGCCAAACCGGTTAGGGCCTAAGTTATAGTTTTAAGCCATGGTCTTAAGTCATAAATCTTAGAACATTACCTTCTCTGATTTCCCCATTTCTGGTGATTCAGAGTGAAGCCCTTTGTGTGTAATTATCATTTACGACCCATGGGACAAAAACTATGCAGAAAGCCTGAGAGAAGATGGATGGGGTAGTGGTGGTTGTGGTGGTAATAATTTGAAGACCACATCCTGCTTCTACCCCTGCTGAACTTGAAGGCTTTGCTGTCTGCGACCAGGGGAAGGGCCAGCAGCTACTGGTTTCCCAGGACTGGTATGCCTGGCAGTTAGCTAGAGTGAAGAGTACTGGCTAGGTGTGTTGAGAATGTGGTTCTAGTCCAAAACTTTATTTCAAAATAAATTTCCAAATTTTAAAAATAGTTTGAATACCGATTAAATTCAGTATTAAGGGTTTCATAGGGTCATGATAAGGAAGGGTCTTACCAGAGTTTCTGGGATGCTGGCAGGATGCTACTTGTTGACCTGAATGGTGGTTACATTGGTTTGATTTTGTAAAACTTAAGTGATACATTAATGTTTTGCACATTATTTTTATAATTTATAATTTTTAGAAGAAGTTTACTTAATATATGGATTGCAGTGGTTTATTCTATGTGATGGGATTATGGGTTGTATGTTTTGCTGTTTAATACTTTCAAATATATTTTTTAACTAAATTATTTTTAATTTGGATAAGAGAACTGAAAAATACTTTTCTTGTTTACCTTCAGGGAAAATGATGAGTGGTGTTCTGTTTCATGGTTTTGTAATGGAGGTGTCCTGTGAGCCTTATATCTTGAACATTGTTTGGTCCCTCTTGCAGGAACAGATATGCTAAAGCTACTCATATGATGATTTGTTAATTCTCTATTCCTTCAAGATAATGTCACTGTTTTATATTTCATGTGTTATGTATGCTTACATATACAAGTATTAAACAAGTCAATAGAATATAGAAACTTTTTTAATCAGAGGAGGGGACACCAGCTGGAACCTGACCTGTCTGAAGAAGTGTCAGCCCGACTCCGCCTGGGCAGTGGGAGCAATGGCTTATTCAGGAGGAAAATGTCAACACTTGAGACAAAAGAAAAAAATTGCTCAGGCAAAGAGAGAGATAAAAGAACAGATGATCTTCTTGAACTTACAGAGGTATTGTTTCATGTGTTGCTCAGAATAAGAGACATGGTTTTGAATAACCCAAGTTATTCAAGACTTGAGTGACTGTTTTGAAGAGTTTCTCCAGGCTATGGATAAATTTATGAAAGAAATCCGTCATACAGGCTATTCAGTCATTGACTACATGGATCATTAGTGATCTGTGAAGGTCGCCTAAGGGATCAGTTTAATGTTTAACAAATGTGGGTAGACATAATTGTTATATATCTTGGAATATAATGGATTCTTTGTATAGTCTCTAACCATAAAATATTTTGGGTTACATAGAATGGGTTTGGCATGAGGAATGAGTTCGTTGCAGTTTTGTGACTATGGTTTACTAAAATTCTTTTGTTGATCATTGCATTTGAAAATAGTAAAAACTTATAGAAAACAAGGAAATGAAGGTAGTTAAAAATTTTAAAGGTGAGCTCATATCTTGGC